GAGAGAGAGAGAGAGAGAGAGAGAGAGAGAGAGAGAGAGAGAGAGAGCTTTTAGAGTCCTTTCCTATATTTTTCTCGCCATTTACTAGATCAACAATATCGAAGTAAATTCTTGCAAATCAGTGTGAGATTATAATATATAACACACAATCGTAAGATGATCTTATTATGCTATTATGTGCACGTATTAATCTCAAAAGAATTAAAAATCACTGCAACAAATTTGCTCAATTTTAGTCAATCAATATGCTTGATGCATTTATATAGGACAAATGAAATGTTATCCCATGTCCTACCGTCCTACCTAATATGAAATAGGGCTCTAATATGAAAAATAGAAAGAGATGTACGAGAAAAAGAAATATTTTGGGAAAGATCACGCATTATCTCTTTTTTTTCTTTAACAAAAGAAAGAGAAGGAAAACGTAAGATATAGGGAGCTGTCAAAACTCAAAATTTTTTCTTTGTTTAACTAACTTAAGAGGATGCTGGAGTGTCTGCTAAATTCTATAATAGGAAAGTACCCTTATCTAAACGGAATTAAAAATGTCAATAATTAACGACATTTTTAATTTTGTTTCCTACATTATCGTACATACATTCAATTCAGTTCGATGACATGTATCGCGACGATAAACATGTATCGCATGTGTCGGATATTCACTGTCAGTACTAGAAATCTTTAGTTTACGTCATGTACACTATAAATTTTTAGTCTGACATTTATTTTACCAGAAAAAAAATATATTAGTATATAATATATGTATGTTATTAATACCTTCTCACCCATCCCTTCTTCCGGGAAAGTCTTCGGACAGATAAACTCCGATACTTTTTCTTACTGTGTACTCCCATTTAAAAAATGATATATATATATATATATAGGTGTAGGAAAATACATTTATTGCACAAAGAATAGCACGTTATTTTGGATGTTTTCTAGCAACGGAACATAATCATACCACAAGTGACACAGTACTAACAGTGTCGATTGCTGTCAGCTTGTAGCAGTTGTGGCTGGTTGTGGTTATGTGGTTAGGTAAGTTAGGTTAGATTAGGTTGTGGCTGGAAAGCTACTTAGCTTTTCTACTTTACCGCTAGAGTGCAGGATAGTATGCGAAAACGAAAAAAACGCTTGCTGCGCGGTGAGAAGCGATGCTGGGCTGGGCTGCATTCCGATATCCACTGTCAGTACTGCAAATCTATATTTTATGTCACGTATACTATAGATTTTCAGTACTGAAAGTTGCTGACGGTGAATATCGGAATGCAGCCCTGGTAGCTAATAAACATTTAGTTCTTACGGAAGAAAAGGCACGTTGATTGGCTACTGCGTCGCTTCTTGCTGCACGGTAATGTCGCTGATCCACAGTCGCGGAAACGCCGTGCGGCAGAGTGCGTTGACCAATCAGAAGGCTGCCGCAAGTCGCCTGCGACAAAATCAAAATTTGTGATTGGTCAACGCATTTTTCCGCATATTGTTTCCGCGTCTATGGAGTCTTAGCATTAACCTCCGGCAAAATCAAAATTTGTTGATTGGTCAACGCACTCTGCCGCACGGCGCGGCGTTGCCGCGTCTATGGAGTCTTAGCATTATGCTAGGGTCTACAAGGTCTACAATGCGAGTCGTAAAGTCGTGAGTCGTAAGAATTGACCATCAATCACAGTCGATTATTCTCCTCAAATTCGCGATTGTGATTGGTCAATTACGGCCGTACGTTCCCGAATCGAGTAACACGATTGGTCGAAATCCTACTGTTACTGTTACGAAAAAGTGTGTGTCCGGGGCCTAAGTCCCTTGCACAATGTTAGGCAACAGGCAATAGGAACAGAAAATAACAAAAAAAAAATCGTTAATTACAACCTAAAAAATTCGAATGCTATGATTGGTTGGCAACAGGCAATAGGCATAGAATTCTTATTTCTATTTCCTGTTCCTATTGCCTGGCATTGTGCAAAGGGCTTTAGGGTTTAAACGGGGAAATATTAAATAGTGGAAAAATTGTATCTATAGTTTGTTCATGTAAAGCCGGATTAGGTGAAAAATGCAAACATATTATGTCCGTATCAGACTACGGATTGGGGTTGCCGTGAAATTTGATTAATCAGAGCAAAGTTTACTAAACTTGAGATCAGTTTTCTCTATTCTGATTTATTAAATTTCAATCCAATCTCAATCCCAATCCGTAGTCTGATACGGGCTTTATAGTCACTCCGTTATACTGCTACCAGTAAATTCCTAACCTTCATTTCCAGATCTTAGATCAGAGAAGAAAATCATTTTAATTGATATAAATATTTGTTGTTAGAAAAGACAACGCGCGCTCGAGGTTTTCTCGTATACTGGCCGACAAGCAATGCAAATGGAAACAAGTACAGCAAAAGACTCTGGAAAATTATAAACCAGCTCCTCTTTGCTTGCTTTTCTCAGCTCAGAGAAAAGAGAAATACTTCAATAATAACAGCAAAAAATATGCTGAAAATGGTGAAGTCCAAAAAAAAAATTCTGAAGCTGGAAATTTTCCAGAAAACCAACACCACCTTATTTGTTTCTGGAGTCGTTCTTCATCAGCTTCTGCTACACTTGGAGTTTTTCTTGTAGCACTGCTTGGCAACGTGCACGATGGAACAGCAGTTGTCTTCAAGCGTCTCGTTTTTGAAACAACATCTATCGTCAACGTATTTACAATTAATTATTATTGAAAATGTATCATTTATACACATTCACGATGCACAAGTTAAACAAAATCTCAAGTGGCTAATTTTTCCTGTCAAAAATTAACTCTCTTACCTGGCAGTATATAATCCTCTTTCTGGAAATGCCGTGAACACACTCTCATATAAGAGGTCATTTTCTTCGTTTTTAATGCATTGCTCCAGGCTTCGAAACGATCACATTTCTCTAAATTACCAAAATGATTTTTGACATGTATGAACAACTTATTAAGCTTGGGAAAGTGATGAAATCGAACATTTAAATTTCTTTGAGCATTACTTCCACAACTGTGTACAATACATACTTCCTATAATAGACTGATGACTCTCCGTAGGGTGAACCAGTTCAGGTACTTTGTCGACTTTGTTATAGATGGAAGATGTATTGTCATCAAATATTGTTGGTACAGCGGAACTGTGTAGACGAGGACGCTGAAATGGAACCTGACAGAAAAAAGAAATATGCCACAAAGGAAATATAAAAAAAACATATGTATATGTACATGAAATAAAAATGGAAATGAAGGACAACACGTGCAAATAAGCTAGTTTTCGTATATTAAAGAAAACTTGGTGATAAAACTTACGTTTGCAATAACCTTTCCATTTGCATCATGTTTGATGTAGCTCCTGATAATATAATGTGCTTCAAAATGCTTCTCGCAAATAGTGTGCGTTTTTTTAAAAGCCACTACACCAGGAATAGCGGCTTTCCATTTTTTTCGCATCTCTATATCTCTCGGCACTTTAAACATAGACACGTTCTTTTTCTTGGTTTTGTACGATTTACATTTCGGTACTGCGCACGTTACAACCATTTTGCACTACTTTAGGAACCTCAATAACCGTTGGATAAACGACGTAGGCACACAAATTAGAAATTTCAAAATTATCAGCTCAGCGGCTGTTACTAAACATATAATGGCGGCTGTAGTCACCTTACTAAATAGTAGCGACACGTGGTGGCGATATCATAAATTATAAAACCTGCTTCAATGGGCGCGTTCAGCAGACTGCAGCAGACCAAGCCGCTGCCCGCTGAGTAGCAGTCGAACGTGCGTGGCTCTTACTTCTTTTAAGAGTTCCTATACTCTATTATGTTAGGCCCGGTGTCCACGATGCAAGAACTGTGTCCAAGTTTCGGTTTAAGCCAATCAACTTGCAGCTCTTACAGAAAAGTAGCCGTTTCATTGGTTTTAAGGGGATCCTAAAGTGAAGGCTGAACTTCCTCGACGTCGGTAATGTCAACATTTCTAATTCTGTTTTCTTGTCATATATCTATATCTGTCCTTGTCTAACGAGAGGCATCTGTCTTTGTTCGATTACTGCGCCATCTTTTGCCACACGCAATATTGCTTATCCTGTCAACCTGAATGTGCTTTTGCACATATAAAAGTTATATAAAGTAATATTTTTTTCTAGGTTTTCAATCTTAGATCTAATTGCACGATATTGTTCTTAAATGTTGTCCCTAGGTCATGCCGGTCTAATTTTGTGGATATTTATCGTGGAATTTTTGTACAAAGCAAATATTGTCGTTACGTATACCAAAAATTAACAAAAATATTAATTTTTTTTTGTTTTCGATATAAATTTGACCACCATGACCTAGATTTTGATGCGTACTTTAATTCTAGACAAGAATTTTGCATTTCTATAAAGTCAATTAAAAGATTAGTGCTAAGAAAAAAAGCCGGTATTACAGACGGCTTTAGGATCCCCTTAAGATTGAACTTAAGACAATCTTAAATAACTATGAATACCGGCCTGTGATTGGTTAATAACATCTTAAGATTGTACCTAAAATTCGGCCAGAGTTGCCAGACCTGTGTATACTGTATACGTATACGACCGTGCTGATAACTCTCGGAAACAGTTGACGTCGAATCGACATTGAACGCCGCGGCGCCGATAAGACAAACGTGTTAATCATTCCCCTCGTAATCACGTTCCTGTCGGTGAGTCACGCTTCCTCTGGCGGCGGCTCTGGCTTCCGTGTAAAAAATAATCAACCGGCCCGTCTATACCCGTTTGGTTTAATCTATGGACAACTCGTGGGCGGAAAGGTTTTTACGGCGGAGGCGATGAGAGGAAGGGGGTGACCAAGTGTGACAGGACTGACAGGAGGCGTGACTCGAGATACGAGTTATCAACGCACGGCTGATCGCAGCGGGGAGTCGGGGACATTTGTCAGGGGAGCGCAAACGAACCACGAACCTTCAAACGGTACGGTAGCCTTTCGTGGACTGCGTGGAGTAAGGCCCTCCCCCCCGTGATCGTCCCTGCGACCTGCGAGCCTGCGACGGCTGCGACTCGTCTCCCGTGAAGATCGTCGTCGGCAAGCGCGATGGAGACGTACGAGAGCGTTCTCCTGGTCAAGTCCGAGGTGTTTGTCTTCAAAATTCCGCCAAGGTCGACCAACAGGGGTTATCGGTAAGCGCGCGTGAGACGCCTCGCGCCTGTCCAACGCGACGTTTCGCGATTCGCGACGCTGTTCAATATGTTATGAACGACGGATCCGTAGTTTCTCGTTGAGACGACCGTACGAGTCGTTCGAGTAAAGTAAAGCTAGAGTAAGGCGGGTGGACGGTACGTTTGTTCTGTTTTCTCGAATCTGTGTGACTCTGTCTCTCCTCCCCGATCTGATCTGTCACAGAGCAGCCGATTGGAACCTGCAGGAACCCTCCTGGACCGGTCGCATGCGATTGGTGTCACAGGGCGACAGCATCACGCTAAAGCTAGAGGACAAGATCACGGGCGAACTGTTCGCCAAGTGTCCCATCGAAACTTATCCTGGGATAGCGGTAGAACCGGTCACCGACTCATCCCGATATTTCGTCCTGAGGATCCAAGACGATAATGGACGGTCAGCGTTCATAGGTGTCGGTTTCTTGGACAGGTCTGACAGTTTTGATCTGAATGTCGCTCTTCAGGATCACTTCAAGTGGTTGAAGAATCGGGAGCAGATCGAGAAGGAGAAGGAGAAGCCGAAACAGGAGTTGGATCTCAGATTTAAGGAGGGCGAAACTATCAAGATTAACATGAAGATTACCGTAAGAACCTTTTCGTCACGTGGTTGTTTCGCAACATGGTTGTATTGCCCGTTAAAATCTAAAGACGTAATATTTATTTAAATTGAGATTAAGAAAAATATCGTTCCAAGATCATTAAAAGAAGAAACATATTAATTTTACGTCTGTTCACGTATTACTATATCTCTCTCTCACGTTTGATTGATTTTATAGAAATATATCTTTGCTTTTGTTTTCTAATTAATATCCTTATTAATTTTATTTTAGAGCTGCATGTGTGTCTGATACGATTCGATATGTCAAGTCAGATTGTCCTGACAACAAGTATCTAGACAACGTGTCTTTTTATATGGTCCGCGATCTTTAAATAATTTTTCTACATATTTGTTACGTGTAGAAAAAGGATGGCAGCGAGGTTGCGTCCAAGTCCAGACAACGTAATCCGGCCGTAGGTCTGCCGCCTCCCCCAGGTGGTGTCAAGATTGCTCCACCACCAGCAAAAACTCCTACTTCCTCACCGGCGCACAAGCCACCACAAAGTCAAAATCAAGATGGTACGAGTTCAGAGTGGGGCGAATTTGCTAGTGCTTCTCAGTCAGCATCGGCCGCAGCACCGGCATCAGGACCGGCACCAGCACCCACAGTGGCCAATGCCAGTTGGGTGCAATTCTAACTTTTAGAATATATGTATATAATGTTATACATAGATATTTGCTTCAGTATATACACATAGTGATTTTGATATGGATGGTCAAGTTTTGGAAACATGTTGGAAACTACTCATTTTGAAAACTCCTGAAAATGGAGTTTTGCCGTAATGATGACTTTTAAATCAAAACGTTCATTGGATACTAAAATAATCATTGAAAATTTTTTGACGTTAATAAATAACAACTTAATTTTTCAATGTCTAAACGGACTGATAATTTTTATAAATATTGCTAACATACAATGCCAACATATAATACAATATTAGAAACGTATATCTATGTAAACTTTCAAAGCATTTTTGTACAACTTCATGACGAAGAGAGAGTGTTTATAAATTGAAAAGAAAGCGACTTCAGATCTATGCTAATACGATTCTTTTTCTTAGAATGGATAGAATATCTAAAATTTGGCCATTTATGCTGAAATCGTTCTTGTATATTAAAGTAAATGAAATAATTGATTATACACGCATATGACATGATAAACGTATTAAGCTAGAGATTTTAAGGTGACTATTGCAAGTCTTTATGAATAATGGAAAGAGAGTCTGATGTATATTTTCCAATACTATATAGCGTGTGGTGAAAAATATAGTAACATTCGTGAGAGGGGTGATATTTTTCCAGTCAAAAAAGACGTTTTAAAGCAGTATTAAATCCTAAGGAAACCTAAAGCCTTCTAAGGAAGCCTTTCGTTATATTTGTTTTGTAATAAAACTATTTTTTAATGAATTTATTGTTTTTATTTCGGAACTTTTCAAGGAAAGAATTTTGCAAGGTCTTAAAAAAACTTTCGTTCCAAACTTATGTAAAAAAAAATGTTAAAAATAAATATACCGATTATCATATCGATTAAAAGAGATGCAGTGTAATGTAATAATTCACGTCTTATGTTTTAAATTTTTAAGGATCCAACAGTCTACAGAAAACTCTAAGCTAGCTACGAAAAGCAATATGAAAAAATTTTACTTTGTAACGTGATATTTATTTTTTGTTTTTCAATAGATTGCCCTCTTCTCGATTGTTGCATGATTCCCCAGCACTCTATATAATAGTATTGTACTTATAAATACCATTCAAAACTCATCTCAATCGCTTTTGGACATTCAGTGTATTTGGAGAGATAGCACAACATAATTTTTTGTATGTATAAATGTCGATATATATCAGATGCATTTAGTGCCTTGTACAGACTAGTCCAATAAATTAGAACCAAATTCGAGGCAGATTACAATAGTTGTTTACATGTTTAGTATTTATACAGAGGCACACAGTACGACATTCGAGATTCATCCATTTTCTTTTCAACTTTTTCAAATATGAAACACTGAATGACTTTCACCTGGTTTACAAAACAACATATTTCTTTTTAAGATTCAAAATGAAATCTTTTCATTGTAGTTAAATTATTTATCGTTTATATAATTTGATTCATAAACATTGTATATTAGGTAATGTCATCCAATATACACCTTATTTATTCATTATTATATTAATTAATACTGTTGAGAAGCGATATTAAATCCTAAGGAAACTAAAAGGATTTCTAAGGAAGTCTCGTTATTTTTTTTAAATAATAAAACTATTTTTTTATGAATTAATTGTATTTATTTCGAAAATTTGCGAGGTATTAAGGTATCACTAATTTGCGATAATCGAGCAATTAGATATAAAGAGAGAATAATTTTCTTTTAATTAAAATCGACATTTTAATATATTTTATTATAAATTAAAAATTATAATAAAATATTAAATTATAAAATTATAAATTTTATAACAAAAATTTAATAATATTTAGTTAATTTTTCCAATATCAACTTGGTAGTTGTTTTTCCAGTATTTTCTATTGCACAGGCATTTTTTAATTCATTATTCAGGAAAGTGTATAACACATAACATATCCAAGATATAATAACAATATAATGTTTGGCCTCGACCGTTAGCTTGCAACATTTGTAAATATTACGAGGCCTATTGTAAAAGAAGGCCTACGTCCCTCGTACACTGAGTGTCCACAAAGTTAGTCATTCAATTTTAATACATTTGAGCCGAGCTAGGTTTTTCATTGAAGAAATAGCAGCAAAATCGTATCTTTATTTAAATTCATTATTCTCTTCTCTACTTTTTTTCGTTTTTCATCTCGCATGTGCTAATTGATTTATTCTTGCCGAGAATATAGTCTTAAATCAAGCAAAAAAATTCTACAATGTTATAAATCAAGTATTTTTATATTTTTATGGCGTTTTCAAGCCATGTTTTTAATCCCGATTGGGAAAACCAAATGATTCAGAAACTAAGTCTCGAAATTTTCAAATCCTATATTAGATTCTATACGTGGATAACAAAAATTATCTGCATAATAAGCAGCAAAAATAGACATGAATTTTTTTATGTTCGATTTAAACTTCTCTTTCAAATCTCTAAGAGAAGTATTCACAAACAATTATTTTACATCTACATATCTCATGAGTATTATGTACAAGTTATTAGAAGAGGATGTTATACTAGAAATGTTTAAACACACGTCTGAGGAGTATATGTAAAAATTTCGACGTAATGAGAAACAATATTGTGTCTCCGGTGAAAAGTAGAATCCTACTACATCTATGACTCGTTAATTAGATAAATTGTACAATGTTATTTACATTATCCCGTGCTAAATTTTAATGTAAAATGTAGAATAACCTTGTTGAAACATATTGTTAGTGTGAATCTTGTTGAATGAGTGTTTAGATGCACGTTCATATATTACATATATTATTTCTTTTTATTTATAGGAAACTGTCTCAAAAAGGTGCAAAGTGATAGCGGAGAATGTCATAAGTTATACAGATGTTAGCAGCGAATCAGAGTTATTTTAATGTTTAACGTTGAACGTTAAAGAAGAACGAAAACTTTTATATCATATATATATAAGAATTACCTCCTTCGAATAATAATAGTTATATGTGTGTGTATGTAATAAATGTTATTTTTAAGAACTAGAACGATCGACAAGATTTGTTGATGTTAATGCAACGTTTGTTGCAGAAATAAGTATTAAGATATCTCAAATTATTCGAAGATACTTCATTTATATTTCACAAATAATTTTTTTTAGATTTCCTTAAAAATTATCAACAATTTAAACAAACATTTGCAGTTTTAACGCATCAGAAATAGAAACAATGCATACTTACGAATATCCAAATGATTTTTCGTCGACAGAATTATTTTTTCCAATAAAACAAAAATTTTCAGAATAAACGGTAGAAGAGAAAGTCTATCATTTATTGTAAAAATTTTTGTGTGTATAGCTTTACATCTTTCTGCTTCCAAAATCGTACGTCGAATTGGTTATTATTAAGGTATTATAAAGAACTTAAAAAATAGTATTCTGCTGCTATTTCACATCTTTCTTGGGACATCCTGTATGTTAAAGCTAATCTTCAGCTCTAATGAGGTACTAATATCACTTACAAGCACATAATCGTATTATAAAGTGATATATGCAGAAAGCAAATTAAAAGTGTATCACTTGTATCTATTCTAGTTTCGTGTATATGGCACGTGTAAGAAATTGTTACAATGTACTGTATTATATGTGTGATAGCAACTAAAAGAGAATTGTAATCCTGGTATATATATATATATATAAAACATTCCATATTTTTTATTTTCTGTAAACACGTTGATAAGATAAAAATAAATATTGGATGGAAGTTGAGAATCTAATCTCGAAATTATGTTTGATAACGGCTAGGATCCGGTCTGAATAAAGTGGCGATGAAAATTTCTCGTATATTTCCTCATATATTTTTCTCCGGAGATATATAATAAACAGTTGGTGCATCCCAAGAATTATTGCGAGTTATCATGTTACAAATAACTTTGCAGGGAGATAAGTCGTTATGGCATGAGAAGTTATTCTATCACACGTACGAACGACTGGTTCGTCAATAATGAGTCATCGTCAACATCATCATCATCATCAACAGCGTTTATTGCGTGCAACGTTAAGCCGTAAGCTGCGCATGGCCATAGCACGACTGAAATGTCGTTGTACTGGACGCTGAAGCTGTCCATTGACTAGAGTTGACTCCTCGTCACATTCTACGCTGGTCAATACAACAAAGAGTACACCGAGCACCTACGAGAACGGGCGCGTACATCAGTAACAATTTCCGATCCGTTGGATGTTTCCGGAAGGAAACAAAAAAGACTTGTGTGTTTTCGTAAAACCGTTTAGATATAAACTTGATTTAAAAAAGATTAAAGAAAATACTAGAAACTTTATATTTAATTGTATCCCATAAAACGTGCGACCGTTTATATGTGTGTTCTATTAGAAATTAAATTACATACCAAACCGACGATTATCAGCAACGTGTACACGTGTATACTTGCAAGCGGTAGTGACTCGACCTCTTTCAATGCATCGGCAGCATCGGAAAGATCTGGTTTTAATTCCAGTGCGTGACGCAGGTGTACAGCTGCCTCTTGAAAGTGTCCATATGCCTATAATGAGAAGGTGCACTTTAATTAAATTTTCATTCACTACATCTTTTTCAACACGTTACTGTTCAATGAAATTGCGCAAAAAAAAGGGAAAAAGCTATCAACGTGCGTTAAAATTTCACATAATGGATGAATGTAACAGAGAAACGGTAAATGATGGAATAATAATTTGACAGAGTTTAGTTTCTAAGAATTATCATATAAATTCAATATCAAACAATTATTATTAATTATTTGATAAATCATATCAATTTAATTTTTAATTTTGATAATTTCAATTTTATCTTTCGTGCAAATAAATGAATTTATAAAATATTTTGCAGATGTTTATTAAGAATCTCACAAATATATATTTTACACAGCTATAATGCTATGAACGTATTGTGTATTGTGTTCGTATACCTTGAATATTTGTCCAAGCGTAAGATATTGCTCCCATGCATTGCGATCTGGAGGTTGCAACTCTAAGGATCGTCTGGCCAAGTATGTCGCGTCGTCCAAGTAATGTTGTACCAGCAATACTCTAGCCAAATTCAAGAGCACTTCCGCGTTGTGCGGTGACACAGCGAGCGCTCTGCGAAAACACTCGATTGACCTTTGCGCATCACCTTTTATACGCCAGAAATTTCCTATCTGGTTATACAGCTGGACAGATTTTGGTTTCTAGAAATGGAAATTTATTTGAAGAGAAATATCAAAAGAGTGTAATGCTACATAAAACTTGAATTGCATTTGAGAGATATATAAAAAGATAGTAAATCTGCAAGATATAAATATTATGATTGCACGAATCTGTTGTCTTTTTGCAAAAAGGTGCTTAAAGACTTGGAGAGAACTAGACTCTGGCAATTTTGTGAGATATTTTTTCCCAGCTCTGCTAGGCTTTGAAATATAGGTACCTCTCGCTTTGCTTTCTTCAAGCGTCTCTCTAGCAGGTCAATGTCGACGTCGACGGTTTTGCCGCCGTTCTTCTTGAACATGAGCGCCACATTGGGCTCCGGGACCAACGGATGCTTGTTTCTGTTCGCCACGCCGATCAGATTGTCGTAGTAGGTAAAGTTCACCGGCTTGCCACAGTCCAATATTATGTTGTCGCCGTGCTGGCCGGAAGCGCACGTCACTTGCTCGCTCGACACTTGTGAGTCAAGTGGGAAGGACTCGCTGATATTTTGCGTGTCCTTCAACACGTACGACGAGAGTCGTCTGCCAAGGGGACCAAAGTTAGGGCTGTTTTAATACTGAATGAACAGCAAGCCACACACAAAACGCTAACTACAGAAAGAAAAAGAAAATTATGTCACATAAATGGCATATCACTCGTGTACACTGTAGAAACATAAAAAGGAAAAGAAATCTACGCATGCAGGTGGACTATACGGACTATACGGACTATACTATATAATGGTACAAAAGTTGCAGGAAGGACGGCGCGTGACATCGCACGGCGCGCTACATGGAAGGGAAGGAAAAACCGAACGAAGGAGAGGAACTGAGGGCACAAGCTGTCACTTTATAACCTAATAGCGTAGGCGAGATAGGTGCACGGTGCACGCCGCACGGCCGGTTCCTCACCTCTCCTGGCTGGCGAAGCCCTTGCACTCCTGACAGTATATCTGCACCTTCTCGTGCTTCTCGGACGTCGCGGTCCTGCTCCAGGCCTGGCCATTGCCGGCGACCACGCTGCCCGCGAGGATGTCGAAGATCGGATCGTCCTCGATCGCGCTCACAAAGTCGGTCGTCTTCACGACCTTGTCGGCGGCGTTCAGGCGCCAGGACGTCCGCGAGTTCGTCAGTCTTATTTGCAGGATCAGCAGGCAGAGCGCGTATCTCCCCTCGGTCCACGTCAGTCGCATCCTTCCCGCGAGCCGCGTCAGCCAGGAGCCTTCCAGTCCGCGCTGGTCCGCGGTCCGCGCGCCGTTCGAATTGTTTACAATCTCGCGATCGGGAGCGAGAGAGAAGGAGAGGAGTCAGGAAGCGCGATCAGCGCCGACGCAGGCGGAGGAGAGGGAAGGACATGGCGAAGCGGTGGAGGAGCGAGAAGATTAGACATGAGCTGCGCGCTCTCATATTATCCTAGATGCTAGATGCGACTGCGAGGGATTAGGGGGAGGGGACGACCGCGCGGAATCAAGACTCAGGGTAATGTGACATTTATACTATATATAATTATGCGACGTCATAAAATTTGGCTTGAATTACTCGCACGCGATGATTTAAGACATATCATACTGCACATGCAAGTGTTCAGATTGAACGTAGGTATACACATGATCGAATATAAGAGTAGGAAGTGAGCGGGAGATTTTAAAGCAAAATTCCAAGAGATTTTAAAGAAAAAGTCCAAATATAGTCATAAATTTTAGCAATAAAACCTTACCACGTAAAAATAAGTATAAACAGTTGTACAGCACGTATTCAATATCCACAATAAAATTTAATGAAATAATAATTTTAATTTATTTGTCAACTGAATAAAATATTGCATGCATATACGTGATTTTTCGTGTTCATGTCTTTCGTGACATGAAAGATCATTTTTCGTTGTCTTATTAATATGAAATCGTCGCAGTTGCATCCTACATTTTCTTTCTCTCTAATAATTAGCGATAATTATTCGTCATGTTCTCGGATGCCTCACATTAGGATTATTAGATATTTCAACAATCCTCCCTTTTTCTTGATCTGTATAATATATTCGTGCCTCTAGTTTACATTATTTAATAAAACGCTTGATCGTTCCCAAGAGTTTCGAGGACACTTTAGAAATATATATATAATATTTACAAAAAGTAGATAAATTTTAAATACTGCGCTTCATACTGCGGAAACAAAATGACTGATGCGTTTGGTCATATCACACGTCAAATGTAATGTTATTAAGCGTTTGGATTCTTCGACATCAATTCCAAGTCAGAATCCATCATATCTTTTACAAGTTCCTGCAAAATGTGTCACGTAATAGCGAATTATATATGATAATTAAAAACACAGAGTGTTGGCGCTTGAGAATTACTTTTTTTAGATGGATATAAAAAATTACCTTAAACGTAACAGTCGGTTTCCATCCGAATTTGTTTCTTGCTTTTGACGAATCGCCCAAAAGTACATCCTGTAAAAAAAAAAATTGGAAAGAAACAATCAAACGTAAATAAAATGTAAACGTAGAGCATTAAATAAATCTCTTTTAATTTTCTAGTTTGTATGTACCGGATATAATAATGAGACTCACCACTTCAGTTGGACGAAAGTATTTCGGATTCACGCGAACTAATATTTGACCAGTTTGTGCGTCTTGCCCCGTCTCATTCATGCCCCCGCCTTGCCATTTAATTGTACGACCTACATATTGGAATGCCATTTCTACAAATTCTCTCACGCTGTGTGTTTCCCCCGTTGCTATGACGTAATCGTCCGGCTGCGTTTGTTGGAGCATCAACCACATTGCCTGCACATTATACGTGGCGCAAATTATATATTATAAGAAATTTCGAGTGTCTAATTAATTTATTTAAGCGTCGCGAACTTGATCTCAAAGTCATCAAGCGTTACCTACTTGTACGTAATCTTTCGCATGGCCCCAATCTCGCTTCGCATCCAAGTTTCCCAATTCGAGCACGTCCTGTAGGCCCAAGTGTATTTTCGCTATGGATCTCGTCACCTTTCTCGTGACAAACGTCTCTCCTCTTCGCGGGCTTTCGTGATTGAATAATATGCCGTTGCACGCAAACATGTTATACGCTTCTCTATAATTTACGACAATCCAGAAGCTGTATAACTTGGCACAAGCTAAAAAATTGGAAAAAGATGTAGAAAAAACTATTTAACATGAATATGAAAAAGTATAATAGAAAGATAATCTAATACAAAGATATGTCTTTCTCTCGCACGTACCATACGGGGAGCGTGGATAAAATGGTGTTTTTTCATTTTGCGGAACTTGCATCACTTTGCCGTAAAGCTCGGACGTCGATGCGTGATAAAATTTTACAGATTTTTCTAAACCGCACGTACGTATCGCGTCCAGTAATCTTACCGTTCCAACCGCGTCCACTTCCGCGGTATATTCGCTCACCTCAAAGCTTACCTTGCAACATACAACATACAAAAAAAAATCACATGTACGTACACAGAGCTCTCAATCTATTTAATATATATATATTTTATACATATATTTAATACATACCATGACATGACTTTGCGCCGCGAGATTATAAATTTCCGTCGGCTGTATCGCGCTAATGACTTTGATCAAGCTACTCGAGTCTGTCATGTCGCCGTAGTGCAGCTTCATTTTACCCTGCCGATGGCACTTGGGATCCTCGTAAAGATGCTGAATACGCGCGGTGTTGAACGAACTGGCCCGCCTGATGATGCCATGCACATCGTATCCTTTCTCCAGTAAGAATTCCGCCAGGTAAGAGCCATCCTACAATAGCGACAAAAGACTGTGAGGACAGTCACTCACAAAGGTAGTTTTTTAGTGAATACACATATGGCAAATAGATCAACTACTACTGTTTGTGGACAGCGTCAAGATCTGAAAATTAAATTCATAAAAAGAAAGCACTCTCACCTGCCCAGTGATACCAGTTATTAGAGCGACACGTCTACTATCGCCAGTTGCCATGTCGCTTGTATAGGTCGAGGATCGAGTTTACCTCTCAAATTTATTGAGTTACTATCTAATGCGACGCCAGAGCCATTAATACTGATAACGTTTATCAACAGAAATATCTCAGTGTTACTTTCTTCCTTATATAGATATTTGTCACGTCTTTTTCTATTTCCGTTGTTCCTATTTCCTTCTTTTAACTCTGTGTCTCTTTAATTGTTGCTCTTTTTTTTTTTAATTATATCCTCTTAAATATAAATATCCCTCGCGTTGAACGCCAAGTCTCCTTATCGCTTTTTACTGTGTGATTGTGAGAGTTGTGTGAGACAAGAGGAGGGGAACGTCAAAAATTAATATAGCATTGGAGAGATATTTTTCCGCGTCCTCCTTCCATCATCGTTCAAACACACATTTCCAAGTTTCCTGTCTAAATCAGATACAACGATCAGAATACCACCGAATATTTAGAATTTTTTCGTATTTCCCGTACGGTTTCCAGGTCGTGAAAACCGCCATGACGTTCTCCGTCAAGGAGTAACCCAGTAACCTCTCTGCGATCCGCGCGATGATTGGATGATTGGAAAATTGTCTGAACTACATATAGCCGCGAATTTTCTCGATGGGTACGTACGTTTTCTTACCGCCTGCGCGCCTTACCGGTTACCGGCTTACCGCGGTGGTTCCGCGCTTCGATTAAATTCCGATTTCCGCGTAACTTGTTGTCGGCGCTGTCGGCGATTAATACAACAACGGATTCAAACTGTGCAGAGTGTGCAGTGGAATCATTCACCGCAAAAATTTTAATTTATTCATCCGATAAGTCCGAGTCCGAGAGTGGGTTACAGTGAGTTATTATATGTGTAAATGGAACTCGTCTATTGGGTCGCCTGTCGCCTCTGGGTCTGTATTGCACAAAACGTAAAACGTGTACAATTGAACAACGCAGCCATGCACGCGTCCACGAATATTTCCCCAGGTAAAACATCCACGTACGGTCTTTGGTTCTGGTCCCACGGCGTGCATGGCGTGAATGGTCCTGAATTTTTCATTTTCTATTGCTATGTTTACGCGAGCGTCAAGTACTTTTGACGATAATTCCTCCGAGTATGAGAAATCAAAAATTAAAAAATGAAACATGTTAGGATTGTTATGGGACACTAGAGCTGTCATGTTCTCGAAATATTTAGCGCTTTACATGTAAGAAAAAACCCTTTACGTCCGCGTGCCCTATTTTTCTCACGTTCTTTTGAATATATATATTTTACATGCATCGTGCATATATACGTATAACGTCATGATTTATACGCGAAACTTTGCGCGATTTTGCTCGAATGGAGCACTTTATTATTACGTTTTTTATGCGCAAAATGATGCGCAAGCAGTTTTATATTTTGAAACATGCTATTCTATTTTTATCGGATGCCTATTTATCGCTACGATTAGATATGCTATTATTATATATTTGACCTGATATCGAAGATATATTAAACAGGGTGTATCTCTCGCGAGCGAAGGGATACGTATTATATAGATTATAGATGATAAACTACATCTGTGACAATCACACCACGCGATTTTTTTCGTGATATAATATATATGATCGCACACAAGTGAAGAGAATCTTATCAGCTAGATTGCTGAGCCTCTATCCCGCGTCAGGATACGTGTCACGACGTGAGGTGAAAGTGTAGAGGGGAGGGAATCTGGATTAGGTATGTAATATAATATACATATGCGTACGCATTAATGGATCCAGACCAAGTTAACAGAAACGAACGATGAGCAAATATTTAATTATTTACGAGAGTTTCTTTTCCTTTGACGTAAGAGACGAAACCCAAGCAGAACAAAAAGTCACACGATGACTCCAAACGTCAAAATGACTCCAGAGTGATTATTTATTAATAATCACTTTAAACGCCACTTGGTCACTTTGACATTTATCATGGCCCCTTGTGTTCTGCTTGGGAATACAATTTTTGTTTAAAAAAATTTGGACCTTTATTGCTGAGACTCTCGTGAGTTGGCCGTCACTCTCGAAACAAACTCGTTCGTATACTCTTCGCTTGGTCCTCGGCTTGACGACTTGACGGGAGCTGAATCTTCTTTTCTTTCTTCTCTGAAAGCGTGCAATAATATAAATGTTTGATTGCTTTGCATCGCACATGTCCAAATGACGTATCATTAGCATGATACAAATACGTCTTGTACTATTTGACTCGTAGAATCGAAATGGTGACGATATTGTAAATGCAAATTTATTATAAGGAAAGAATTTAAATATATGTATGCGAAATGTTGCGTGTGTATATGTGTGTGTGTGTGTGTGTGTGTGTGTGTGTGTGTGTGTGTGTGTGTGTGTGTGCGCGCGAAACCAAATCAGCATTCCGCAATTTATTTACCAAGTCATTCAAGAAATATTATCTCCTGTTTTCTTCAGTTTTAATTTTAATCAATAATAGCCGAAATTTTACTCATTGTCAAAGTTTACAGATAGATATATCCGAAATGAATACGTACGAATCAACTGATAAAGCAAGCTATTTTTTCTTATGTTAATTTTTCAAGGATATCTATTTCTTCCTATTAGTTTATCTGATATTATATTGTAGTGTCTGTGTGTGACGCTCTGAGATGAAAATAACCGAGTTGGTTGTACTCTAAACTTTATTAACAAGTAAAAAATGAAAGTTTACACGTACTTTATGAATATGAAAAAGACAATAATTATTGTGAATTAATTCACGCTTTTCACTGCGGCGCAATTAGAAAATGAAGTAGATATATATATCTAAAAGAGAGAGGACACACGTAGAGACACTGTGCAGAACCATTTCGTCCGTGAAGAAATGCTGCAAAGTGTACGTAAACAGTAGAATGTGTTTAATATATACTATAATATCGCATTAATTTGAATTCACGAATTGAAAACAGTGCTACGGCTGTTCTTTTGTCGACGGGACTTTGGAAATCTTAGCAGATGCCCCGTTTCCTTCTTAGCTATTGCAAAACCTCTTCGGTTTTGCGCTTTTCACTTTGGCGAGTAGAAGAAAATACATATTAAACGCGCGTATTAGTCCTCGCGCAACTTTCGGTTACAGTGTTACACATAGGGTACTCTTTATGCTAGAACGATAAAACATTTCACAATAAATAAAACTATACTTATAATTCTGAATATATAGCACGTATACGTATAACGTCAGGAGTCAGGACGCGTTCAGGATTTTCGGCTTTTAAAACGTATCTTCTTGTTTAACATTGCCGATCAATATGTTGTCGTTACGATGTCACCCTGAGGCACCTTCTAAAATAAGCATAAAACTATATTTGCGACTCTCGCGTGGACTTCCGTAAGATGTTGTCGATACTAAACATCGTCATTTTGGCGATACGTCCCGAGGAATCAATACATTCGGTTTCGGTATCTCTCGCCACGACGTTCTCTTCGTTCGTTTCAACGATCTCACGTTGCTCCTCTTGATGTCTCATTGACGTGGATAAGAGTTCGGTCGATACCTGCAATCAGAGCACCGTGCTTCAGCGGTGTTATCAGAAATTCTTCATTAACTTGCTTCCCAACTCGAGTATTTAGGTACGACACTACGACATGTTCGAGCTGGGAAACCGGCATCGGAGAGCTGAGAGATAATCATCACGCAGAATCCCTCCCTCGCGAAGAGGTTAAAGCGCTGTACCGGTAATCCTACGAGCTCCGGTCTCCCCTGAGCGATCACTCGTCGCCGTCTCGTCCTCCTGCGCCTGTAATTGCCGTGCTCGAACATCTCGCTGGCGGACGGGTCTAGGGTCCAGTAGCTTCCCTTCCCGGCCGTCTGATCCTCGTCGTCGTCCGCGCTCGTCCGGTCCCGCGGTACCTTCACGAAGCAGTCGTTTAGGCTGAGATTGTGCCGTATGCTGTTCTGCCAGCCCTGTCGGTTCTCCCTGTAGTAGGGGAATCGGTCCATGATGAACTTGTAGATCCCGGCGAGCGTCAGCCGTCGCCTCGGCGACGAGTTGATCGCCATCGCGATCAGGGCGATGTAGGAGTACGGTGGTTTCTCGTGTTGCGGCGTGGTCTTGTAGCCGATCGGAGGTCTCGCTAGGACCGGCCAGGACGTTAACGACGCTTGGCAAAGGGCCGGCCACGCGATATCCGCGCGCAGCATCTCCGGGACCAGGTTGGTGAGCTCGTACGCACGTTTCGCGGGAAACGTCGTCTTGTCGATCGGGAGGATGCACCAATACTCTTGGCATCGAGCGCGCAGGCCGCACGATTGATCGTCCGCGAGGAGACCGTGAACCTCGGGACAACTGTTGGGCTGCATCGAGACGTCCTTTCGCGCGAACGTCTTTTATAACAAACTTTTTTTTTCCGACGACGCGCCGCGCGGTTGTCCTGTCAGGATGTTCTGTTCGCGACGCGTTCCCAAGGAACCGTGAAATAAAAGTTACATCACGTTCTGTCTCTGCCTCTTCCTCTTCACGCGACGAAAACTAAGAGACGCACCGTTGACGTCCACCGTGTATTGCCGCGAGGAACGGAGTCGCGGATCGCACTGATGGGGTAATCATCGAGGGACAGGACGCAACGAGGCAAACCCTGTCGATCAGGGGCGCGGACTCGCCCGGGACTCCCAGTTGCCCTAACGAAGGAGCGTTGTTTAATTTGACACGTGGGGAATCATAGAGGTTGGCTCAACCCCGCCCATCGGCGGTTTTCCAGGGAACTCTCGTTTACGCTCTCGTGGGGAGGAGATTACCTATCCGGGACCGCACTACGTGTTTTATTGCTGTTTACACATATGCTGTTTCAACACCCACGCCGGCAGTAACCGCGCCAATATATAAACAGTGTTGCGATAATTATATCGAGGCCGAACGGCTTCTCGGAACGGTCTCTTCCTCCTAGCCGGTCCTCCTTTTCACGATCGACGCGACCGAAGACGCGCACGTAGACGAGCAGAAGTCACCGAAAGTCGCTTCTAACTTTCTCACAAGACCGATTTTTCGATCCACGTCGATTGAATGTTATTTAGTACGGAGTCTACATTCCTCTTTGGATAAGTTAATATATATGTAAATCAGGCAAGAATGAGTAACTACATTAAAGTGTAAAATGTAGATAATGTAGGTTGTATGATATTTCTAATCTAACATGTGATTATGATAATGTGATCGGAATTATTTCTGAATGAAGAGATAAATATGATGATTATTAATTTCTTCTCTTTCTTAAAAATTTTATAGAGAAAGGATTGAACACAGAATCGTATATAAATTACATTTATTTCAATATAAAACGAGGGGTCTATCGCACTTTAAAAAAGTGTACATCTATTGCCGAAAACAGCGATAAATTCCACATTTCTGCAGTTATTATTTTTATGTCCTATATTGCCTAAATACTGCCTTTATTACCGTTATTTATATATAGATACCTAATAATTTACATATACATATATATATATAATGCATAATGAAATTTGGAACAAATCTACTATGGTACTTAATTTTGTTTATGTTAGATACAGTTAAAGCGCGATATCAGTAAATGCACATACATTTATATTAGTCAGATCAAAGCATGGACGTAGGAATATTTGGACGGAGCGTAAGATATTTTCTTAGACGAGGGGAGTGAAGTCTAAGGGGGTAGGGAAAATCCATCTTGGTCCATCTTGGTTGATCAGATTTTGCGTACATATAGCACACGATATATCTATTTTCATGTCCCGTTGACGTGATTTTAACCGAAGTATCACTGCGATTTAAGGTTACTTATTCTGTAAATGAATATATTATAGAATACACGTAATCTTATCGTTATTTCGTGTGATTAACTACGATCATATTTTTCCTTTCTCCTTTGGTTTCAACTCCGCGGAAATATGCTCTGTCCAGATATTTCAACGTCCATGAGTCAAAGCATACATATATATTACGGATTTAAAATAACCTACTTAACATAAAATGTTAAATAACTTGTAACAATACCTAAATTATTGCATTAGGTTCATTATTTTAGGTTCGTATTTTGTGTAAGATGTTTTGACTATAGTAAATGTATATATTCACGGAGATCATACCTTTACCGCGTGACATTTATATTACATGTAAAAAAGTTGAAAATATTAAAATATAAACTGGTTATTTACCCATTTTTAACTCTGATACACGACAGAATACTAAAATTCTCGCTAAAACTAGTTAACGTATCAAGAAAATTATTAATTACAGTTATTGCAAACACAGTAGCAAGCACAAGAACGATTTTGATGGCGAGATATTAGGTCTATTTTCTATTTCTGCACTAGTTCAGCTATTCCCGTTGTATTGCTTATTTATTTTTTGTTTATTTCTTCTATAACTGCTTTATAAAACACTATTACTTTTTATTTCCGCCTATTGCCGTGTACTGCCTACTGTTGCCTTTTTTCGCCTAATATTACCGCTTATTTTCCAATATTGCCTAGTTATTTCCTTGTTTTTGCCGTTTATTGCCTAAAATTTGTACACCTATTGCCGAGTGCGATAGACGCCTCGGCGGTATAAAATAAAAGCGTCAGATTTCAATTTTCTTCACTTGTCTGCGTTGCTCGTCAAATCCCGTAGTATTATCTCCTGGGCTGCTGGATTGTCCTTCGGTACCTATGCATGTTAATTTTTTAAACAAATGTCATTAAGACATATTATATATATCTAGTATTTAAGTAAAACATATACTGCATATATATATATGTAAGTTTTATCAATTTATCGATTAATAAATAGAATTTAAAATAATTTTGAATGAAACGAGAAAGAGAAGATTAATAATAATTGTTAACAACATTCTGGACTGCGAATATTTTAATTGGAATATTTGCGTTCGTGTAGCGCTGAAAGAATCTCGCGAATTTCACGCGATAATTAATGACATTTAATTAGTCGTACGTCACTTTACAATCGCGACGGATGTAACATTAAAAAAAAACTTGCTACTGTGACGAAATTTTTTCTGCATAAGTTACGGGAGCGAACAAATCGAACGGCATAACGAGTCGGCGGATGTAAGATCGCACGTTAGTCGCGTCGGTTTAGGATTCTCCTTGTAGCAAATTAATCCCGGGCTTACCGCTTTCGTATAATAAATACGAAAGCTACGAGGGAAGAGAGAAAGTGCCTTGTATGTGCGTACCATATGTCCGGCTCTGTTGACCCAATACATCCTAAAGTTATCTTGAGCCTTGAAATAGCCCTCGACGATGTTTTCAACGACGAGCGGACGTCTAGCGGAGTTTTTCCAGGTGTCGGCGTTTTTCCATTTTAGTTTTTCGACCCAGAGAAGAGTGCCTGAAATATAACATATATAATATATGATGAGGACTTAAGAGCAGAGAGCAGTTTAAGAACATTGGAAGAAGGATGTAATAGCTCACAACATGTAATCTAAACACATAATATGAACTGGATAGTGACGGTATAATCGGATAATTGCAGATGATTCCACGAAAAAGATGATTTAAAGCAGAATACAATTTTTCAATACGCGCAAGTTCATTTTCAAAATAATAAAATTAATGGTAGCTTTTAAGCTCAAAACTTGAGTAATTTTCAAACTATTAAAATGTCATTAAAATGCGAATAAAAATATTCAGCCTGTTTAAAAAAATTTTTAAGGTGCCGAGTACGTTGATTTCTAAATCATCCGTGTCAAACGTGAATCAGAAAATAAAGTAACGACTTACCTGGTGTATCGACAATTAGATCCATATGTCCAGTGTACACAAATACGTTCAATTTGGTTTCATTAAGTAACATTTCCACTAAAACAAAATTTACATTTATTAGTAACCAGATTGTATTATAAAATGCACGTATTATGCAGAGTAATAATCCTTTATATCACAAATATCTTCGATTTAAGAATAAAGCGAATGTATTTAATCGCAGCAGTTATCAGTTTATACATCTAAGCAACGCAGTTGTTGATTCAACAATTTGTTAAAAGCCTGCAAGTTGTCGAGCATACATATATTGCCGAACTCTGCTTGGAAATAACACACAACTATTTCTATCAATTAATTTACATCAATTTTATCCTTTCGCTTTCGATGCAATGACGTTCTAATCAATACACCAGACTATAATACCTATGTTAATGACGGGCTTCATAAAATCTTCTCTCAAGTACGCGAAAACAGAGCCGGATTGGCTGCCATGAGTGGCTTTGATACCTAGCGCTTTCCTTACCGGACCGTTCATCAAATTTTCGAGTGAGACATCGTCATCAGATTGACCGAGATATCGATACATGCCACCTGCAATTATACAAAGAAAAAAAATGCCTAGTAATATATAATACGTATGATAATCTGAAAACAGAAATGTTGTAAAACATTAATCGCATAACAATGTCCTCTGTATTTTTATGTTAATATTAAAAATGAAATCAAAATTTCGTTATCTTTAATCTTGAGAAATTATATAATAATTATTCACTTGTATATATACCTTTAAATATCAAGGGCGATGCAATCAACGAATTCGGATTCGTCTTTGTAAGAATATTGTAAAAGTCAACATTGTAAGTCTCCTGTAAAACGACCTGTTGCGTATTAGCCCACTCTGTAGTCGCTCGTGTCCATTTGCCCTGCTTGACGTTGGCACTCGTCCTTTCTGCTGCACTGGAAATTCTGTTAAAACCTTCCGTGTCAACCATACCCTGCAAAGCACAGTTTTCGAAGAGTTTGATAAAAAGTGCTTTGTGTAAATAAGATGAGGGGAACGTTCGTGCGCAAGATCAATGTAAAGAAAGAATGAGAAATGAGGGAGGAATAAAACATTATTGGATCTCGTGGCCTGATTTACGTTGCCTATGTTTTTTTCTCTCGGTGGGGTATTATTTATTATCGCACGTGCTTTTTTAAATTTAATAAATATGACCTCGTACGCGGGTGTTACAATGGCGATAAATAATCGAATTTATATACCGTGCTGAGTAGAAATGGTGCCCACGTCAATACGGAGTCGATAGGAGAGATCCAAGCGTCCCCGAGAGCGACTCCCTTTAAATTACTCTTGATGGTGCCAGCTTTCTGAGCCTGCGGAACATTCATGATACTTGTTTTTAGATACGTGAATTTCACGTGACAGTCTCTTACAAGAAATTAGAGTTATTTCATCGTATTTGCCACGATGCCATTACCGCCACGATTTCGACATTATCTGCACGTTTCTCAACTATCAGATGACAAGGTATAAATATTATGGTTGTATACATGTATGTAATGTTTTTCTCGTCGTCATCATCTTAAATGTTTCTGTGGTTTTTGACGGTACAAAAATGTGTCCCGGAAATCAACTCCTCGTTTTTAAGAAACGAATCTTACGATTTAATAAGAATTTCTTCTCATCAGACTTTTTGAGATTTTAATATCGTCGATTTAAATAGAACAAATTCTTTCCTTTTGTTATTTTTTTTTTAAATTAGTGTTTGTGTTTGCTTACTCGATCCCAGACTAACGCAAACTCCGCCCCCATTTTTCCGCCGTACGATTCGGTCGTGATATACGTCGGGACATTCTCGAATTTCGGCAATTTCTTGTAGAATCCTCGCATACATTCTACAAGATCCTTCGCGATCTGTGTGTTTGTCGTTGTCAATGCCGATCCGGTTTCGACGTAACTGTAGCCAGTACCGACAGGATTATCGATGAAGAGAACATTATAGTCCTTGACCTATAAATAAATTATCCACTGAATTATAAATCTATAAGTTTAGTCGAGTGAATCTAAGTACAAATTTTAAAAAGTTTACATCTTTATCTACATTTGCTATATTCTTTGCGCGTAGACGTGCCTTTTCTCTTTGGTTGTATCAACAACCATCAACTGTGATCTAAATATTTTAACGAGTTATCTCAACAATTAAATATTTATAACGTACGACTGGATATTACGCTAAATTCCGAACAAAATCTACTTTTGTATATAATTTCTTATACCCAAGTGTAATTCCTTGGATTCAGTTTCACATCGAGCGGCCCTAATTCCTCGAAATTTCCAAAACTGGTCGAGGATCCGCCCGGTCCACCTTGCAACCAGATGACTAACGGCCTATTGTAATATGAATTAACGTTTGCCGTAGTATAATAGAGCCACCAGAACATATTCGCCTTGGGACGCACTTGAACGTAATCCCATTCTTGTTCCCCAGGGCCGAACCCCTTTTTTCCTTTAAAAAAATTGTTAATTACTAATTTAGGATATTTAGATAAATAATTGTGTATAGCAAGAACGCGACGCGACATCGCTGTTAATCCTTGGATGTGTTTGTCCCTACTGTTCTTATAACGACAAAGTACTTCTTCTTTTACTTCTTTATTTATATTATTTAGAACATCAGAAAAAAATTCAAGGGTATAATAGCGTATATCGGCAAGTCATTTCAGAAACTACACAAACGTGAGAGAATATTTTTTTTACAATTTAAATAAATAGCGTAATATTTGTGATATATTAGATTGGAATTACATTATCTCCTGCACCGATCGAGCTTCAAGGCGAGGAAGCGTCTCAGCTATTAACAATAATTCGAAAGTCGGTGACGTAAAGACGAGTAGCTGAAACGTGTGTTTGCCAAGCAAAGACCTAGGTAAATTTGCGAAGTCTTAAAAGAAATCGCAGAGTAAACGTTTTCCGCGTCGCTATGGTAAAAGCTAGGAATGCAACGGTCGAACACTTTGTCATTTACCTGCACTAAAATTCGACAAACTAGCGGCAAGTAAAAATGTGTGCGTGAAGCATGGCTTAAAATTTAACGGCCCAATCTGTGCTACTGCGTTCTATATACGAGTTGAAGAGAGAAGAGAATATTACATAAACATTACGCGTTCGTGTAACATTCCAAAAATATCTTGTCAAAAAGATAACGGTGAGTTGGGAAAACACAGCTTTATCTAACGTTTTCATTATCTAAAATTAGTCGAGTCACGTAATCGCTCTTATTAATGCAAGCCTGCCGTCGATATACTGACCAAGCTCGATCGATTCTTTATCTTTCAAGATCACTGGACTTGAGCTATTACATTTTTATTTATAGAGAGCTGCGCGAGAGTATATATACAAACAAGATATGTACATACGTGACAATTTGTATAATTTCTCATCAGACATTTTTTTTTTGACATGTTTATACTGTTTATAGACGTAACATGTTATTTCTGCACAGGAACTGTCGGCAGCACTGTTTGTCAAATTTTGATGACTGTCTAAATTTCTATAAACCTAGAATGTAGGTCTATGCGTAATTAATGTATTTCATACACTCAAATATTTCCACTTATCCTAAATCCACTTTCGAAAGTTTCAACTGTTACGAAATCTATCATTGACATAACGTACGTTTACCTTGTCATTTGTGTGTTTGTATTGCATTATCGCGTGACGAATGTGACTGTATGACAAAATTTATTGCACCGATGATTGTCTCATCTTACCAATACTGCCGGAAACAAAGCACAACGCGGCGAAAGGGTAAACAAGTGGACCCCACATTGTCTCGTCTCTCTTGTAACCTTTCGGAAACTACGTGCCGCGAGAATCTTCATATATATATATATATATATATATATATACATATGATTTTATTATCTTTTATCTGTCATGAATGTAGATTAGATATACGTACACGTGATAATCATCATACAATTTATATCAGCTGCATTCTATTGCTTCGATTTCAATCTTTTGTCTCGTCCGGCTTTGTCATCTTCAGTTAATCTTTAAAAGTTGATCAGCCAGACAATCTATTTCTTTACCATATTTATCGATTTGATAATGGAGATAGATAATGGATTGCAATCGCGATTTCTTTATTTGCAATATCGAATGCTATATGCAGTTTTATACAGAATATCTCTATTTCTCGCCAAGCATAATTTTTTAAAAACACTACTGAAGAAGAATTTATCATTATTTATTACTTTTGCGTTTAAATTCATTTATTTGTTTCCGCGAAAAAAATCGTACAGTTATAATTTTCAAACAACTTTTATTAAACTAAAAATCTGCTGAAAAGAAACGTCATAAAATTAAACATTAAACTGTTCAGGTTTTTTTTCTCTACTATACATTACCAAGTATGTGACAACGTGTGTGGCTCATACAGTTTTACATTTTTTTTTTTAATTTTGATTATCCATTTAGATATTATTGCTATGTGTCAAAGTTCTCATACAAAGCCTCAAATATATATTGAATGATAACGTCACTGAGAATGCTCTCAATAGCATTCGTATTTGATTGCATTAAGCTTTTAAGTAAAACGCATTCGCGATTCTTACAAATGTTACTCCACTTTAGCGATATCTGGGTATTGAGAGATAGCTACCAGAGTGCGTAACGGCGACGATTCAGAAGACCGATAGAAGGATTTAGCATTCCGCGTGTGGTACATAGGCGCATCGACCGCGGGAAATAGTTACGAAGGAGAAAGTAGCGCCGTCATCGTTCAAGCATTCGGCCGTACGCGACGATATAAAAAGAAAAAGAGAAAAAATGAGAAAGATTGCGAAGAAAAAAAAACCAAGGCATCAAGACGCGACGAAACGAGGAGAGTAGGGAGACGCGGGAGACGAACGAGAAAGAGAGAGCAGGACGCGTTCTATCCTCCTTTTATTAATTTGATTGTCCCGTTACCGTTCGCGAAATCGTCGACCCAAATTGACTTTCCATGCTCGGGCTTTAACGACGTCCGATGGGAAAACGGGAGGACGAATAAGCCGACTTCCTGCCACCGGCGCCGATTTCAGGGATACGCGGCCGCGTCGCGTCCGAGAAGAAAGCTCGCAACAACGGCACGAACTCGTTAGTCGTTACGTCATTACGAAGGAAAAAAAGGGTAGAGAGGAAGTTATCGAAGCGATTTTATACAATGACGTCCCACTCGAATTTGGCAAAAAGTGAAAAAAAATCTCTCGTCGCGAACGTCTCTTTTGTTCTCAGAGGGATTTTTGCGAAAGAGAGGTGCGCGATCCATTCGCACGTTTTCACGTGCATACATACACACGCGCGCACGCGCTCGTCAAATGCCGCTAATTGACATTCGTGTCATGCGCTACGCAAAAAAAGCACGCGCTCCTCCAAGCCCGGTATGGTATTCCTGACAGGTTTTTCAGTCTATTGCTACTCCGGAAATTATCGGCGAGGCATGAAAAGGCCGCATAGACTCTCTCGATGCTGTCGAAATCGAGAACGCGCGGCCTGTAGCACCGAGCGCCTTGCGTAGCTAGTCCATCTGTTTATTCAGCGAACGACCGTTTAAACGTTCGCAGTTACGTGATAGCGTAGAAGTAAAACGCGAATGAAATCTGCAATGTACGTCGCGTGCGTACGTGATTTTCTTAATTCGTTCGCGGCGAGGAAAAAATCTATTCGAGGGAATCGATCCAAGTCGGAGGAGAGGAGAGCCTCGCGCGGATCTTCCGGCGCAATAAAATTGACTCGTTAGCGACCTAATTGAGCATCGACAAGCGGTATCCGAGCAATTAGACAGATCCATCAACTCCGTGGATGTTCCGTATGGCCGAATCCGGGTAATAAAGAGATAACAGAAATAATAGCCGGCAGCAGGATGCGCGTATATGAGAGAAAGAGAGGGAGAGGGACGTTAATGAGCGGCTTGATCAACGATCGCTCGTTCCTCGCGGTCCTCAAAGTCGGCGAATCGTTACGGGAAACGCTCGTAGCTTCCCATTATGCAAATTTATTCGCAGATAACGCTAATTAATACACCGCCGTTGACGGTGTTGACGTATCGTTCCGTGTCCCAGGCGGCTCTGTTTGCAGCTGGCGACTTGGCGCGTCTCTCGGCGTACCCCGTCTCGGTTTGCCAGAAGGCGTGCTTTTCGCGAAGACACGTATCCGGCCCAATCTGTATCCGACTTGCGCGCGTAAACAAACCATTAAAATTCGCCAGAAATATACGTTTGCTCGGTGCGGCGCGACGGCCTGTTGGACGTGTCTGTTTTACGCCTCGAGAATAAAGGGGTGGAGCCTTCGCGACGCTAAAGTCGCGAAGCATCTTATATAAAATATACATTGTGTTAAATATATGTTATTATATATATATATATATATGTATATAGATAATGTAAATTATACATATCATACATGTCTATTTTCCTAGGTTTCCTAGATTAGACTAAATATTACTTAGCCGTATCGCACGCACGAGTGAGTGCGCGAAACGCACGACGTCGAAGGCGAATTGCCGGAAGAGAAGATTCCGCTTCCTCTATCATTATGATGAGAGAAATGGTCGCAAATAACGCGATCGTATCTTGTTTTATCGCCTGGAAAAGCCTTAATGCGAGCCGGTTAATGATCGTTAATATAAACCGTTGGGACACGGTTCGGTGACGATAACGTCCTTCCGATATGACCCGCGTAACTTTCCTTTTGACATAACGCGATTGCGATTTATTGGCATGCAGAGAGATAGGATACGCGATCGCAATTGTCAAGTCGCTTCACGATTGTCATCGATCTATCCTGCCTGAAATATTGCGGCAATCGGCTGTCACGGGTCAGCGAAGTCTGAAAGTCTTTCGATCTAGCCCGCGAGCACGTCAATCCGCGCGCACACGCGACGATCCAATACACAATACGCTCTATATGATATCGCGCGAATACGCGAAACGTTTCGCGTTCATACGTAACGACGCGGATGACCGAGTTGTGTAACGTGCCAGCAGAATCGCCCGCAGGAGAACCGTTAATGGATTTCGAATGAGACAAAGTGCCTAAGCCAGACTTCCTGGTGGGAAAGTATATAGTTTTTTTTTCTTGTCATTTTTACAAATAATGGCATTGGGTGCGCGGCACAATTTGTTTTCGTCGCCGCGTAAAAAAAGGAGGACGCGCAGATTCTAATATTGATAAACTATACATGCGAGTATCGACAAATTACGCGTGAGAAGACCTCTGTCAATGCCTGGGTAATAATAATATTTTACGTTTCTACGCGTGTAAAATGACGTTTTTATATACGCGAAGCTTCGGCGGCGCGAGCAGCGCGGAGGTGAAATCTTTGACTCCACAGGAACGTCGACTTCTTTGTCAGCGAAAATTCATTACTACGAGGATGATCTCGGAGTAAATCTCAATTAATTCAAGTCGGTTGCTACCTCATCCGTAGTAATGAATACAACCTTATATTAAATCCTCTCTACCGTGCAATGGTTCGCAATGATTACTACTTTGTATATAAATGCGGAAAGAAAGCGGGCTCTCCGTGACGCCGCGGCCGGTTTTCGCAAATCTTCTCGATAGTGTATCGCGAAATTGTATCGCAACTAATCTTCACGTTGTCGTTTAATTATTTTAATTATTTTAATACCACTCAGACCGAAAGTTTTTTATACTCGGCGTATCTTTCTTTTTCCAAGTTCTTCGGAGAGATTCGGAGATGTCGGCAACTCAAACTACCATGTATTTAACGAGAACGTACCGTTCAATATTTGTGCTCGCCTAGCATCGATGTTTTATCTGCTTTAACAAGCTTTAAACGAATTGAACACAACACACGCGAGTCTTGTCCCGATCGTCTTGTGGCAGTAACAGAAATTACACATTCTCGAGACACAGAGTGAAAGTAACCGATTCGATTATCTCCTTCAAGACAAAAAAATCGAAAAGGCAGCTGCCGCTGACATCGTATCGGAAGAAAGTCAAAGTAATTCCATCGTGAGGCCCGGGTATAACGACTCTCGCAGTTTCACGCTTCTCGTGTCTCTCCTGCGCGACCAAAAAAAAAAGTCGAAAATATTCTTCGTGTGCGCCAAGTTTCCAAATTAAACGTAACGTGACGAGATTGTAGTTGCAGGAGGAAAAGAATATTTCTGTCAGTTTTGCACGTGTCTAAAGTCTAACGTAATTTTCTTAGGGCCACTTCGCGACCGAACTCCGATTAACGTAATCGTTGATTAAATGGATGCCAAAATGACAAAATACGTAGTATGACCACGTTGTATTTCTGGCGATATAATCGTTCTAACCCAATCTTTCGTTACATATCTTTTCGTGTATTGTAGAAAAGAAGTGATTAAATCAACGATTAAGTGTGCCAGCCTCGAAGAAGATGCTTTCCCATTGGATTTTTTATTTGTTCTTTCACGCGAAATTATCGCGGTTTATACAACCGTTTATACAACGTTATAACGATTACAGAACACTCTGTACGTGACGGACGATAATCGCGGTTTTTGCTTCCCGATCGTCTAGCGTCGATGCAACCGGTGCATCTCCCCTGCGTCGGGGCATGCTATACGGTGAAAGGCAACCGCGTTGCATGCACTTCGCAGGAGCGACAGTAACCCTGAGGAAGAAAGTCAGAGTGAGAACCACACGCAGGTGGCGAACGCGATGGCGAACGCGAGCGCAAGCGCGCGCGGCGTGCGGCGAAATTGTTCTCACGTACATTACGAAACCGCGCTTTTCCGCGTTGCTGCATCGTGAGACGCGACGCGCCGATATGAGATGAGAAAGGCATTTCTCCGTTCCCACCTCTCGTTCACGAGATCTGAGAACGGAGATCGTTGTTTTTGTGATGAGTTACCGGCGTTAATTCATCTCCAGACGGCTGGCACGAGTATCGTTTATCGTTGATTACGTTGCTCTGCAGCAGACTCTTTCTCGCGAGACTTTTTAGCCGTGGTAGACTTGATCTCGTGATTGCAGTTACACTTCTTGAAATAATAGATATCTATTATCCCAAGATGTGATTGAATAGTCCAGCTGATGAGAATGAATAGTTGATCGGGGAAATTGTTTTAATATACATGTAGAATTAATATTATCCTTTTTGAGACAACAATGTTGTAACGAGCATCAGCGGTATAGAAAGTTTATTCTCCTTGCGGTAGAGCGTTTAAAAGACCCTGATAATAATTAGCGAGAAAGTTATATCAGTAGTACATCGCGTGTCATCGGACACTGGCTGGTTTCATATAAGCTTCTACGTTCGCTGTCAATGATACCCGCTGTCATTATAGATTTTAAATGTCACACCTGTATTTAAATCATTTAAATCAACACGTTTATTCTCTTAGTTACAGAAGGAAAGTTTTGTTGGATTAATCAGCCTTATTAGCATTGAAAATCTTGCAAACGTATAAAAATCGTATAAAAATTTATACAAAAACTTTTTCGTAGAAATTTTATGTTAATTACATTAGATTGATGAAGGAAGTAAAAGCGACTTTTGTGTATTCCGCGTCAGGAAGGTTATTTCAGGTTTGCCTCATATGTTAAAATTCATTGAATTGCATTACGTTTCGTGCTACTCCTCGTCGCCCCGCATTCGCTATGAAGCATGAATCCCCTCTCAATCCCAACTGAAGATGGTACACGCAGAGTTGGGACCCCCGTATGGCACCGTGGCACTCTTTTGTACCCCTCCTCGAAATATCTCTATGTCTAGAGTATCTAGGCGTCTAGGCAGAGAAGCACTCGCTATAAAAGCCCGGCATGTCACGATGAACCCGTCAGAAGAGTGACGAACCGTAAAAAAAACACGGTGGTCGTTGCCATCCTTTTCACACGGTGGGCTACGGTACCCTCGTCGAGAGAATGCGATTTATTCTGGTCAGTGTTCATTGTCGCTCCGTGCCCCGTGCGCTCGTCCTTCGCGTTTTAATCATGTGCTAGTGCTAGTCTGTGATATATGTGAGATTCCTTTTCGGACGGAAAGTGATAACATTATCGGTATATAAGATCTTTCGCAAAAATCGTTCCTAGATCACTTTAGATTCGCGGTCGACGATACGTATCGCGCGACACGCGATACGTCTTGTGCCCATTATCTCCTTAATTCTAGCTTCGTCCAGTGAAATGTGGAAGTACAGTGCTTTCTTAGAATACATATCGCTGATCATAAATCTTCTATGATCTTTGATAAAATCGGGAGATTTTCTTAGATTCCCACGTTCTGTTTATATTTTCAACATTATAATATCGATAGCATTTTTCCATATATTGACACGTTATCCTTCTAAATATAGGTATACACACAATACTTGGCAAATTTATAATATTACGTGGAACGTTATGCTTATTTTAACATTAGAATAATTATGTGGACGAAAATACACAACGTTTTTTTTATTAACGAGCAACCGATTTTGCATCATTGCAACTAAGATTACATCGCAAGGCTAATATTGGATAATCATTGTAGAAAATTGTAAAATTTTATGTGTTTCATGGAAACGAAATTTATAATGATAACGCTACGTAGCAGTTTATTTTTATGCTAACGCCGAATGAATATAGAAAGAATATAGAAAGAGAGAGCAAATTCGACGCTATGACCTTAAAGCCATCGAGACAGTAGCGCGGCTATGTTAACGCAAATGGTTACAAACGAGTCGGTAAATCACTGCCATTTTCCAACGGCAACTGCTGCAAGTGGGTACTCTTGTCACTTTTCACTCCGCAGAATGGAAAGTTGCGCAAATAGGAGCCGTACCGGGGATACGGGGGCATCGAATATCGCGTGCGAAATTCGACAGGGTCAATGTTACAAAGTCGAGTAATCGAGTCAATGTCATCGGCCGTCTATCTGAAGCGTCTCGTTCTCTCGCTCTTTTAATTTAGCTCTCTCGCTACAGCTGCATGATATATCGCTTCCTTAAAACCGTATTCAGATATCTTATATAATAAGTATTCGGGGTATCGTATCTTGGGCATTCACACAAGATACCACCCTTTAGATAATGTAGTAATAATTTAAGTGATAATATTATGCAACATCTTTTACAAACGACGTTTTTATTTTCGTCATTGAGGTCGTATCTTGTTGAAGAAATGATGCTAAAATCTTCTCAATATCTTCATGTCTCGCTATTTAAAGATATACCGGTATTAAATTAGAGTATCGATGTACCGATAACGTTTATCTGATTTCTTTCGTAGACAAGCGGAAACGTGGTTACAACGGCTACTAACTAGATAAAGACAATAAAGATAAAATGAATTAATCAGCAAGTAATTTCGCATGCCAATGTCAACGTGAAATAATATAATATGTAGGTATGCAAAGTGATCGTGTAAAGTCGGATTGAAACGAAAGTGAGCCAAGGTTCTTATTACTATGTATGTAGATAATATGCGAACAATTATTATTGTTATGTTAATCTGAGAAGAGGTGAATCTGTGACGTTTGATCAGTATATAATGACGCGTAATTAATGAAATTTCTGTTGAAACGTTACGGCAATATCCGGCGCAAAAAAAGCGCAGCAAAAACTCGCAATTTTTTATCTTTGACATTTCATGACAGGGTTTCAATGAATATTTGACCACTTAATTAAGACACTTTCTAATATCGTTGTTTAGATATCTAAATATCTAGATAAAAAAATATTCGGTCACTTAACACCCAATTATTCTAGCAAGCAACTATATAAATGCATAATAATATCAATTAAGATTCATATCAAATTGAATATCCAAGTACATTTAATTATTCCAGCGAGTCATCTTTCACTTGCGAATTCTTTTCTTACGCAAAATTTTTTTCTTAGCTATAATATCAAGAAGCAAGCTTTCCGATTTTTAAATGATCATATCTTTGCAACTAATTCGTAAGTTGTTGTGAGTTCATTCAAGTTTGTATATTTCACTCTTTGATTTAATAAAAGAAACAAATTTTATAAGGTGTATTTCTGATGCAAAGTTCCTTGCACTCGACCGTTTATAATTTAAGAACTTTTAGTTTTTACTGAGATAAGGTCGAATACGGAAATCGAGAAATTTGTAGATGAAAGTACGGTTGAGACATTCCGTATATCTAAGTGTGCGTAGATAGTCAAACGGTTCCAGAAATCTTGTGAAAGAGCGAGAGGAGAGAGCGACAGAGAGAAAAAGAGAGAGAGAGAGAGAGAGAGAGAGAGAGAGAGAGAGACAAGTGGGACGACTAAAACACTTGATATCCTGTTGCCGCAGGGCTAGCTACAGGTGACAGGTACCGCCTAAGGGTAATGCTTCACGAAAAAAGAAAAGAGGAATCTCGAAGCCCACTTTCCTTTAATTTAACCACCGGTACAGGTTTTACGGTCTCAGTGGCCCCTTCTGGAAATACGTGGACAACGGTAGGGAGGAGGATAAGGGGGGTCGACCCAATTCGCGCCGGTGTTTACGTCGGCCGTGTGTTCACACGGTGGCGGACACTTTCATTTTTGAGAGACGCGCTCGTCAACGCGTAGAAATCTGTCCGCAGGATTTCTGACGCGCGCGCGCGATGAAAAGACTATAAGAGAACCGGCGGGAAACTGATGGCGGGTGATCGCGAAGACAAGATAATTGTGCTACTGTGACGCGCTTGAGAGAATGAAGACTAATTACCCGGCGGCGCGGCGGGGCATCCCTTTTTCACACGGTCGATCGCACAATTAGCGTATAGCTTTGCTCTTTTACGTGTAGATGTTTATCACTCATTTATCTTTGCATCATGCCTGCAAAGAAAACTACAATGTATCCCTTACACAAAGAATTAATTTTCTTTTTCAAATATTTATAATTATTTCATTCATTTTTTGACTCGACGTATTAATGTCATCAAAGTTCGTCATTATCAGCGATTATTAAATAACGAATTAAAACTATTTATGCAGACTTTTGTTCATAAAACTAATGAAAAAAAATTCTTTCAGACAATATTATGCGGCCTCTTTGTTATCTCCGCGCTTGGAGACCCGATTAGAACAAAGAGAGAGTGAGTATATATAAATAAATTATTAAATACTTACATGAGATGATTTAAAATTCGCTTACAACTTTACACATCAATTATCTGCAAAAATGTCTCACGTTGCGCAACGTAATATTAAATGGCATTAGAATCGTTAAGGTTTAATTTTATTTTACGATGTGCGGTGCCCTAATGGAAGAAAATACCGTAGGCCTCCCGTAAGCTCACAGTATGGCGCACCACCAGCGACGTCTTACGGATTACCGGACGTAGGACCGTCTGATTCTTATGGTCCACCACCTTCGAGCTCCTACGGTGCACCCTCTGATTCGTATGGTGCACCACCCCCGCCGCCATCGTCGTCTTACGGCGCCCCGTCCGGGCCCTCGTCATCTTATGGCGCGCCTCCTTCGTCATCCTACGGTGCACCTTCCCCGAGTTACGGGGCACCGTCAGGCGGTGACCACGGTGGAGGATCATTTGATCTCGGCGGTGGTGATCACGGAGGATCCTTCGGCGGCGGTCACGGCGGAGGATCATTTGGCGGTGGCCACGGATCCTTCGGTGACGATCACGGTTCCACCGGAGGTGGATCGCTCGATGATCATCACGGATCGGGCGGTTTCGGAGGAGGTGACGGCGGTTTCGGCGGAGGTGGCGGTCACGGCGGTGGTGACGGTGGTTACGGCGGGGGTGGCGGTCACGGCGGTGGTGACGGTGGTTACGGCGGAGGCGGCGGTCACGGAGGCGGTGGGGGGTTCGGAATCTCCGATTCTTACGGTCCACCGTCGCCACCCTCCGGATCCTATGGACCTCCGGCGCACGATCACGGGCCGAAAGGCGTGTGGAAGAAGAAACTAGTATGGAAGCCCGAATGGAAGCAGATCTGGAAAACGCAGTCGAAGATGATCTGGAAGCAGGAGTGGAAGAAGGTACAGGTACCGGTTTGGAAGGAGATTCAAGTGCCCGCGTGGAAGGAGATCAAGGTACCTGTCTGGAAAAAGGTCCAGAAGCCTGTTTGGAAGCAGATTCAAGTGCCGGCTTGGAAGGAGGTCCAGGTGCCAGCTTGGAAGAAGGTATGGAAACCCGTTTGGAAGGAAGTCAAAGTTCCTGTGTGGAAAGAAGTCCAGGTGCCCGATTGGAAGAAGGTCTGGGTGCCGGAATGGATTAAAATCGGTATACCGGGAGAGCAGTATGTGGGCAAGGATCACCACGGTTGGCAGTATACCAGCCACGATCTCTGGAAGAAGAAGCTGATATGGAAGCCGGTCTGGAAGAAGATCTGGAGAACGGAAAAGAAGCAGATTTGGGTAAGCGACAAAAAATTAGAATGGAAGGCCGAATGGAAACAAATCTGGAAGACGGAGAAGAAGCAAATCTGGGTGACGGACAAGAAGCTGGTCTGGAAGGAAGAATCGGTGCAAGTATGGGTGCCTGAAAAGAAGCAGATCTGGGTCACGCAGAAGAAACAGGTGTGGAAAGACGAATGGAAGAGCAAGTGGGTTCCGGCTTGGAAGGACGTGCAGGTACCGGCTTGGAAGAAGATCTGGAAGCCCGTCTGGGAGAAAGTTTGGGTTCCCATCGAGTCCCACCACGACGACGATCATCACGGTTACAAGTAGACCGTCGTCGAGAGTCACGCTCGGCCGGCTCGATTTTGCCTCTGCGACTGTCTCGTGACATCCGAAGGTCGAAAGGTCGACTCGGAAAATTGTCGAAGAATCGCGTCAAGAAAGTCGGTCGGATCTTATGATAATGCCTTGTGATAATGGATTATTCGCCTAAATATATATATATATATAGGTATGTCTCGAAAGGAGAAAAGAAAAGGTCGACTAGTAGACGTGTACCGCACGAATAAGAGGAAAGCCTATAACTAACAGTTAGAAAGCATCGCAACTATGAGATATGCACGAAAGTGGATGATGAAAATTGATCATCTCGACGACGGAGCGACTATAGGTAGCCATCCAAAGTCGCCCGGTTCTTCCGTGAAGTATCGCACGAGAAAACCAGAATAATTGATCAACGAGATATCATCGTGACGGATGTGAAGATAGCACTATTTACAGTATATTCTCCGAGAAAGCGAGATGCGTACTAATAACTGATCTTTATCGATTAAATCTCTAACGACGCACCTTTCTAGAGATTATACGATTTGCTAAATTAAACATTAAGCAGATTTTTGCCAAGGAAAATGACGTTTCTCAATTTATTCATTGGAAAATAATATCGTAACCTACTTATCATTGGAGAAAACTTTTGTCCCTTAAATCTATATTTATATTATTTGTTTATAACAAATTACTTTAGCTATTTGATTTCGGATTAAATCTCATAATCAGAATGAAAAATTCACAAGCGAGAAAAATGACATTCCTTTCTCGTTCATCTTTTTCTGGTGGATAATCCATAGCCTCAGTATGGCTACGTGCGTATCTTAATATTATGTGTAATTAATAACTTACTTTGTAAATATCGTTTGATTATTGGGATGCGTACATGTGAATATTTTTTATACGTAATAAATATAATTTTGTACTACGCTACGAATTAATTTAATTTCCTTCATATTTAGACGAATATTTTCTTTTTGTTGTTGAAACCAAATTTCAATTTTTATCCTCTTCTATAAAGGGCATGTCATAACTATAAAAAGTGCTTTAACAACATCTAGATAGATGTAATGAAGTAATAATTATGTGAATTGTTCGTCAAGTTTTTACTGATGGAAGCTCTGCATAATCTTTTAAATAAAAAAAAATACAATTTTAATTTCAAGTAAGATTTGTTTACGGTGCATGATTGACAAAATAAGATAATATATTCAACATAATTAAGTCAAGTTTTGTTCGAAAACAATAAAACCAACTGTAAATTACGCTTTTTTTAGTGTAAAAAGCATAATGTACTGTTTTCAAAAATAATATTGTAAGATATAAAATATGTATGGTATTATGTGTTCATATTTTTTAAAACTATTATTGACATTACGTTTAATTATACTTTATAGATATTCATGCAATAAATATGTAAATGTAATGAATAAGGTCATGAAGCATTTAATCTTTGATTGAAATAATGAAAAGCAATTAAAACATTGAAATTTATTCTGAACGATTAAACTTATAGACGTATTTTCGGAAACAGTTAATAAAATTGTGTTTTTTTTTAATTCATTAAAAAGTCTATACGTTTTGCAGAACAAAAGACATAAAGCATGAGACCTCTAAAGAAAAAAAATTTGTGTAGCGTGTAGACTTTGAGAACGGAGACTTTTAATCTTTAGACTGTGATTTTTTTTTTAATATTTATCGATTGTGATGTTCGTACGTCTGAAAGTATTTCGTGCCTTTGGCAATATTTAACAAGATATTTATTTAAAGACCCGTGAATATATATACGATCCGGTTGTCCGTGAAGCCATTAATTCACATTAGCTTATATGAAAGTACGGTGGCTTTCATACGGAGGATGCGCTATGCAACACGTAGAAGGTAATCAGAAGGATGACGAAGCGGAAGAACGAGGGGAGGCACGATGCTTTCTAAGGATAAGATGAGAATCGAGTGAGCAAGCGTGTCTCTCAGGGTCTTCAGGGTCGCGAGACGAACCCACGACCTTTACTTTCTCCACGATCGTGCTGCAACAACGTGCTGTGGGGGCGAGCAGGGCGAGCTTCGTGAGGCTGCACGTGGAGTGGTAGGGAGGGCACCGACCGGAAGTGGTACACGGCTGGTAAATCTCCCATGGCAGTTTAATGAGGACGTATACAAACCCGAAACGGGGGTATCGAGAGTACGCCAAAAGTACTTTCGATTCAGACCCGAGAGTAATCGATCAATCGGCCACACTTTCATCTTTCGGCACGGCCGATGATTTTGCAGATCGCCCGAAATTATTGCGAAATTAGAGGCGAAACGCAACAACTCTATCAAGTCTCTAACTACTTCGTGCCATTTATATATAACATAATTGTAAATAGTACAATAGCCATTTTAAATTGCAAATAAGAAATCTCTTGGAAATTGAATACCAGCCTAAGACTCTTTAAAATTTGGAAAAAAAAAAACAAGTAAATAATAAAATAATATATTTCGGCAAATTTCGTGTGCATTTTAAATCGACGTTGCGACAAATGAGCTGCTTCGACACTTGGAGGAAAACTTACGAATCGTCCAAGGAATTCACGGTTGAAAGGAAACAAGCTTAACGCGGGTTATCCTGCGCTTTTCGCAAAAATTCTGCTACTCATTCCACGACGGCGCCGCGTAGCGAAAGTGCAATGCAGTCGTCCAATAAAAAGTAAAAGTAAGACGTTATTGCATTGCCGAGACAATGTCGAAATCGGTCGCGAAGATGCGTATACGAGTACTACGAGCCTCGGCAGATGATCCTGCCTTCCTCATTACCACGACCTTAATTACAAACGTTCCGGCATTTATCTCTTTCTTCCACCCGCCCGAGAGGGGGGGGTGGGGGGGGGAAGGACGGCATTAAAATCGCTTTCGTGCCTTTCGCCCGCAGCGAGCCGCGGCAAAAGCCTCGAGCGGATTCTCACAGAGGCCCGGCCGCATTAGCATATAATGTCGCGAGTATAAACTTAAGGAAAAGCTCCGGTTAACGATTCGTAAGATCCGTCCGGAGTCCGGAGAGTGAAAGTAACTTGTGCAAGTACTCGGGACTAGCGAGCATGCAGGTATATATATCGCGGCGCGCGATCATCGAGCACGTTTTATAGTGTCGGACTCGCCGAGGCGAGCAAAGATCTCGATTTTTCCACATCCTTCCTCCGGCGAAAGAGTCTAGACATATTTATCACCAGTCAAAGCCGCAGTAGCTACGCATAATCTCTCTAAATCTCGTTAAAGTCGTCAATAATCTTCGATAAAATTGCCGACATGTCCGGTTTCGATCATGCGTTATGCTGATCGCGCTAAACTAACAAACCATAAATCAGCGACAATCACGACGGAAATATAGCTGAATTGTAAATTAATCGATGAATGCGTGACGATCCCTTGCAATTAAAATTCCTTGCAGTTCATAAAACGGCGATGGTCCACTGGAAACAACTCTCGTACACAACTCGCATCTCCCGCGAGGACTCCGGCAAGATTTACGTCGCTTTAATGAATCCATAAATTTGATTACATCAAAACATCGAGCGTGTCCGTATTAATCAACCGCGCATAATGAACCGAAATAAATTTCGGTGTGTCGGGAAGCGTAACGGGTAGAGCGTTTCTTCGAATGTATTTCCGGACCACGTGCCCCGTTCCCACCCAATTGGGAGCGGTTCGGTTAAAAGTCTTGGCCGGTCCACTCGCTTTAAGATTTATCTTGCGGATGGTCTTAAATCTATTGACCTTGACCCTTGTCTCATTTCTGCCTTCTGCCGATAACGTACCACGACGCAAGGCGAATCTTATCCGCAAAATATGACATAAATCGAATCAATGAACTTTGCAACAATATTACCCGCTTTCGCGTAACGGGTAATCGCGCAAGACCGTTTCCCCGCGCGAGAGACGTATCTGGTCCCGCTTGGAAAGTGAAATTCGTTCGGATTGCTGCGTGATCAGCGAAGCGTTATCTGGGTGAAATTACACGCCCGATGATCAATGTCGTAAGCAATCATTATTCCGCGCGCGTCTCTTTCATTCGTAATATCGTTTCTGTTTCTTTAATGCGCGACGCAGGTATACTTATATGAATTTTATACGAACAATCTTAAGTCATTCATCATTCAGAGAATGCCGGCGGATGTAAGCATATTATACATACAGGACTTGCAATAAAAAATATTTTTTAAGATATTCTAATTATCAGAAAGTGACACTTTTTCTCTGTACAGTGATGGCTTATAAAGTAAAATAATGTTCTTCTTTTCTAGAAGGACAGAACTCATTTTGACATATTTTGCCTTTTGTAAAATTACGTTCTTCTCTCGTCCCGCTTTGAAGAAGATCACGTCTCATTGTTTCATTTTGTTGAAACAATGTTTTCCGTTATTTTTTAAAACTATCATCATACTGCCATCTGGTAATATTGTCGCAAAGTTGGTTGATTCTCCCATTTGTCAAGTATGCGTTTGGAATCGCCTTTCTCCTCTAGGATAAAATGCCAACTGATTTTCAAACATTTCTTCGGCAATGCATTTGCAGAAGTAACGCTGTACTTTACTCGCAGCAATTTTATTTTAGTTATTTATTTTATTATTATAAGAAATATAACTTGTATAAATAAAAGTGCGCGTAACAATAAAAATATTAGTGATAACGAATGATTCAAACAAATTGGAAGAAAAAGCAATTCAAGAAAGAATTTATAAAGCTAATTAAATTTTAAACAGTTATAAAAAACATTTCTACATATTTTAAATATAGTATGTCTCTGTAAAATCTTTACCTCTCCATGATCTTTTTTCAGCACTTTCATATCTATAATAACAAAAAAATTAATTTATAGAAAAAGGAAATTGAATAACTTCCTGAATACTTGGCTAAAAAAATTATCTAAAAGTGTAAATGTACCCAAGAGTGGATTTCTTCCAGTTTTTGTTTTCAGCACTTTAATTAACAGATGCGTAAAAGACTATACGTTTCGCAGGTTGATCGAACACACACATGTACGCAGATTTCACCTAGATAGGGCGCCGGGCGCATCGCCGATCACCGAGTCAGGACGAATTTCACTTTCGAACCAGGCTCGTCTCGAACGCATCGCTCGCGCTCGAGCGAGCGATGCACCCGTAGCTCTCTACTCATCCATCGAGTCGAGTACCGCGGAA